AGATTTGAAATTCATCTCCAAATCCCTCAATCCAAACAAGTCCGAGGGATTTGTTATTATGGATTTGAAATCCCTCCCCCAAATCCCTCCATCCAAATGGACCCTAAAGGTAAATCTTAGCGGGAAATATATTATAAAATACAAAAAAGAGACACATGGCAGCAGAAGACCCACCCAGTGTTTATCACCGGGTGTAGGGTCGAACAAATCCCCAAGTTAGGTGTGTGGAAAACCGCATCCAACACCCGGTTTGGGCGGGAGAGACTATTTTTTTAATATATCTTATATATAAAAGAAAGAAACAATGGACAACCATAAAAAACTATAATGGTATTTCTGTACTTATTTATTTTTAATATTTTTTCTCTACTAATTTCTAACTATAATTTTTGACAAATATCAATCTTCAATTTTTCATCAATATATCTCAAATCTAGAGAGATAAAGATAGAAATACTCTTATATATAAAAGAAAGAAACGATGCGTAACCCTAAAAAACCCTAATGGTATTTCTGCAATTATTTATTTTTAATATTTTTTCTCTACTAATTTCTAACTATAATTTTTAACAATTATCAATCTCCGATTTTTCATCAATATATCTCAAATCTTAAGAGATAAATATAGAAATACGATTTTTTAAAATCTTAATCTATATATTTGGATTATAAATCTTAATATGTCATATTAAAAAAAAAAACAATGTTATATAAAATATGGATAATACTACATTATTAATTTTTACTATGTTCGTGTACGATGTTTTCTTTTTATGTATTAAATTGATTATTTTTTTCACTTTTAAAATAATATCCGGTGCATCGCACGGGGAAAAATTGCTAGTATAAATAAAATTAATATTTTTTTACGTTAACAAATAAAATAAATTAATTAATTAATCATTCATTAAATATAAATTAATTATTACTACAAATTGTAAACTAATTATTATTAATTACTTCAAAAATATTAATCAATTATTAGCTAATTACTAAATAACTATTAATCAATAATTATCGTGTGGTATATTTACTACTATAATTTAGATGTCATTTCGTTATGACTTCATCTTACTTCGACTTTTATGTCACAAGAAAACGAATCGAGTGAATATATATTTTTTGTTTTGTTTTTTTTTAATAGGATTTAGCTTATCTATTTTATATATATATTTTTCATAAAAAATTGACTACCTAGTGTGTGCAAAAAAATCAAAAGTTTGAATAGGCGTCAAAATTGAAACTAATTATATTATATTACTTCTTTCGTGACAGCAATTTATTTACATAGGGTAAATTACAACCGCCCCTGAGGTATGGTTAATTTACGAAAAACCCCTCTTGTTTGAATAATTACATTTACCTCTTAACTATGTTTTTTTCTTACACTTCCACCCTTATGGTGTCAAATTCAACAAAATCATCTAGATTTCGTGAAATTTGCTCTAGCTCGTACTCGTTTTGTGTAAAGATACAGTTTATGATGCACCACAACCTGATATGTACAAGCTTAAAAAACACATATTATAATCAGCTTGCATCAAAATGTGGAGTTCCAATAGGATAAACCGGGTATAAAAGTGATAATAATCCATATAATCTCGAAAATTCCACTAAATTTGGAACCGCAAGGGTGGGCGTGTAAAAAGATTTATACTTGAAGGGGTGGTTGTAATTATCCAAACAATAGGGATTTTTGGTAATTTGACCATACCTCAGGGGGTTGATTGTAATTTACTCATTTTTATATTATTAGCTACTTATTATTTTTCTAGTTTTAAATGTTTTACTATCAAATATATTATAAACAATTCACTATTATTATATCATGTGCATTGAATATTAAAAAGTGTATACATCCTTTATAAGATGAATTTACTGAATTTTAGCTAAATATTATATTTTATTATTATTCAAAAAAATAATTAGAAATGAAAAAAAGAATATTATTATTTAATCTGAAACTTGGTTCTGAATAGCACGAGGTAGAGCAGTGTAAGAAACATCTGCGTTGTTTCCTGCAAATTTGAATGTCACACATTTATTCCTGGTCAAGTAAGTAACGTTTTTTATTGACAAAATCTTGATCTACAAATATTTGGAATTCTGCCAATATTGAATTCTCAATACTTTTCCTATATTTAATCAATTGCCATTCCTTTGGTCTCAATTAGAACAATCCAAGTTGGTTTGCCGTGATTAAGAGCCTGTTTGGCTAAACTTATAAGCTCTTAAAAATACATTATAAAATGGTTAAGAGCTTATAAGCTGCTAACTGACGTTTGATAATTTTTTCAAAAAAGATCTTAAATATTTAAATAATAAATCGTTAGGGGTCTTATAAACTGTTACTTAAAATGTTGATATAAGATTTTATTTGCTCATTACTGACACATTAAAAATACAAAATTACACTAAAATAACTTATAAAAGCTCCGTATCCAAACAACAGAAAATTAATTTCTAAAATAATATCGAAGAGCTTATCAAATGTATGAACTTATCAAATATTTTAAATAAGCCTATCCAAACGAGATCTAAGTTTAGACCACATAAACGGCCTCTCTCTCGTACTTTCTCATCAAATTGAGTTTGACAACTTGATACTAATTAGGGTAATTAGCACTTTATTTATTTTATAATTAGGGTAATTAGTTAGCACTTCACTTTCACAAGATCTAATCTTCCTAGACGGTTTACTCCTTTTGTAATTGCGTTTACTGATTAATTGTAGTTCCATTCGTACGGGGAATTAACCGAGGCTCCTTCGACCCTACATCCGGTGATAAATACTAGGTGGGTCTTTTGCTGCCATGTGTCTTTTTTTTTTCTTTTTAAAACTCCTTAAAGGTAAACCCTAACGGGAGAATATATTAAAAACTAAAAAATGATACGTGGCAGCAGAAGACCCATCCGATATTTATCACCGGGTGTAGGGTCGAAGAAGTCATTAATCAAATCTCAATGGCAAACTGGCAATATCAATACAAGGACCTGATTGATATTGATAGGGTTCACACCCATGGCCCATTCAAAGGACCAAAAGAATATTGTTTTTATATGTAAAATTTAATTTTATATAACTTCTATTACTATATTTGATTGATTTATTTTAAAAATAGATATGCAATTTCAAATAAATTTTTTGTTAATTAATTATGTAATTAAAATAATAATTTTGAATGAAATAAAAACATGAAACTCTCACAAGAGATAAAAAAACACTAAATGGTTTTTCTCATATTTTGCAATTTTCTTAATCCTTCAGCTGGTGGAATGTTAGATTTTTTAAAACACTAGGGACTAAGGCCTTGTTTGATTGCCTCTTAATGACCTCTTAATGCAATTTAAACTCTTATTCGGTCAGATAGAAGCATTCAGTTTGTTTGGTGCCTAACTCTGAATGGAAGCAATTACTGCTGACTGATTCAGCCCAAAAATCAAGTCTTATTCGTTCAGTGGATGGCTGAATTGAAATGAATATAATTTAAACAAAATTATCCCTAAAATTTGTTGAAAGTGGTGGACTTTTTTACGACAGCACAAAGCGGTGACCTTGTTAATAGTTTGCCAGATATTTAAAAAATTGTTTATATAATTTGTTTTTGATTCATTATATTATTTTATAATAAAAATATGATTAGGCACAGTTTGGTTCTTCCACTACTAAAATATTGGAATTTATTTATTTTTCATTTTCACTTTGTCACAAATATTAGTTATTTACAATGACGGATTAGAATTTATGTTGAAAGTTTTATTTTTTATATGTAATAAATGTATAATGTAGATAAATTTCGTGAAACGAAATATAATATAATAATTACAGTGGACGTATATAGTTAATAATTTTGTTAGTAAATAAATATATGTTTATCAATTATGAGGGTTAATATATTGTAAAATTATATTATTCAGATGCAATAGCTTTTTCAGTTATCAAATAAATTTAAACGTTCAGCATTCAGTGATAGACGTTCATCTTAATCATTCAGTTAAGTATTCAACATTCAGTGCTTAATATTATCAAACAAAGCCTAAATCAATTTTCTTTTTGTGAATAATAAGGAGCAAATATTCAACAGATGTAAATTTAAGGGACAAAAAAGTGCACTTTTTCCCCATCAAATAACAATATGTATATTCACACGTAGAATAAAGAAATTAGATGCAACACTTGATTATCTACACTAGTGAATTTGATCCGCAGATCCACACTTAATCACACATACCTCCATGCAGAGGTGGACCCAAAGTATGTCTTGCGGGTCCCTACCCTAGTAGGATTTTTCTTTTACCTGTTTTTTATTGCCTTTTTTTATTATGTTATTTATGTACTTTAGCCCCACAAAGTTCAAATTCTTATATTTTAGCCATAAAAATATTTCTAACCCCTGCCCCATGTTTATGTGTGATTAGTAGATAATTATTTAATCAAATTTACGATTCAAATCCACCCGATGTAAATAACTAGATATAACATGTAAGTCTCGAATAGATATTTTATGAAGTGGACCATACATGTTTTGGAAGTTAGGAGCTTTTCTGCCAAAAGTTAGCTAAAAGAAAAACTGAGCAATAACCAATCAATGACCAGCAGCTGAAAAGCAAAATCTAACAACACTACATTCTAAGTAAGAAAAAACTCCAATTTTATTAATTTATTAGTTTTTTAATACTAAAATTCAAATATACACGACTGTAAGTATATACATAGATATACATACAGAAAAGTCAGTCTTTCTTTGGAGAATTAAGAATAGTCAGTTACATACTACTATCCCCATAATATACATGCACCTACTTCATCACCTTATAAATACATGAGCCTCTTCATTTTAGTTTACCATAAGCTTTAATTTGATATATACATAGTTTTAAGTTTTCCTTAAAGCTGTGTAATAGCAAATAAAATTCAATTATTTTTTTTCTTGATTCATTATATTCATTTAAGTAATTCTGAAAAAAAATATAATACACCCTTCATTTTTTTTTCGATAATGGAATTCGCCTATTTCCTTTTCGTGCCCGTTGTCGTTCTTTTCCTCAAGCATTTCCTCTTCGGGGCCCGACAGCTTCCACCGGGCCCTAATCAATTCCATGTTATGAGTTATCTTTCCCAATTAATATACAAACCGCACATCGCGCTCCAAACCCTAGCCAAGGCTTACGGCCCGTTGATGTCGTTTCAGCTCGGCGACCAGCTGATGGTCGTTGCGTCTTCGCCCGAGACCGCAAAGGAATTTTGCCGGACCCACGATAGAATATTCTCCGGAAGGCATTTGCCTTCCGTTTATCACATTCTTCCGGGGACAATCGATTCTTCTATCGTATTGTCGCCCGAGTGTGGTAAAGCGTGGAAACTTCTACGTACGATCGGTCAAAGTTGCGTGTTTTCGTCTCGGGCTATGGAAACGAACACATGGATTAGAAAGGCTAAAGTGATGGACACGGTGAATCATTTACGGACGAAGCAATTAGGTCAAGTCGTAAATCTTGAAGATTTGATGTTTGCTACACTAGCAAATATTATCTCGAGTGCTTTAACCGCAAAAAACTTGTTCCATATCGAAGGAGAAGGGAAAGAAGATTACAAGGAGATGATGTCGTTGGTGAACGAGGTTATCGAAAAGACCACGACTTTCGGTTTGGTCGATTTCTTGCCGATTTTGAAAGGGGTAGACTTTTGGAGCAACGGAAAGGCAATGGATATGTACCGGAAAATCAAACTTACTTGGGGTGGCATTATTCAAGAAAGAAGAGCATCGACGAAAAATGATCAAAACCCTAGTTCAAAAACGTCGCAAGATTTCTTGGATATCGTCTTATCGGACGGTACATTTTCTGAAGATCAAATTGCCATTTCATTGATGGTTAGTACCCTTTTTTTTTCGAACTCAAACTATATATCACACTTAATTCTTGGTACGTAGCCTCTATTATTATTATTATAGCAGAGAGGTCTAGGGTTCGAATCCTGATCTGAGTTAAAAAAAAGATAATCTTGTTTTTGATTTGAGGTTTTCTATAATCTTACATATTTATATTTACATGCATGCAGGAATTATTGATTGGTGCTACCGATTCGACGACTATAACAACCGTGTGGTTGATCGTAGAGTTGATTAAAAATCCAGAAATGTTGTCCAAAGTCCGCGAAGAAATTGCGCAAGCAGTCGAAGGCGATGAACTAAACGAATCACTATTATCTAATAATTGCAATTATTTCCAGGCGTGTATTAAAGAAACGTTACGACTTCACGTGCCGGCCCCACTCTTGGTGCCTCATCGCGCGATTGAGACATGCAAAGTGAATAACTACACAATCCCGAAAAATAGTATGGTGTTGGTGAATTCATGGGGAATCGCACGGGACCCGAAGTATTGGGAGGACGCTACGATTTTCAAACCCGAGAGGTTCTTGGATTCGAACATCGGTTATAGAGGAACGCATTTCGAATACTTGCCATTCGGGACGGGATTGAGAATGTGCCCCGGTTCGGCCGTTGCTTTCAAGAATATTCAAATGCTCGTCGGGTCTTTGTTGCATTACTTCGATTGGAGCTTGCCTAATGGCGACGACCCGATTTCGATTGACATGAGCGAGACGTATTTAACGACTCTTAAGAAGGAAAAGCCATTGCTTTTGGTTCCAAAGTTGAGGGAGTGATGATTTTAAAAAATAAAATTCTTTGGATATTTAATAAGTTCTATTTTCGAATTTATATTGTTATAATTAATTAAAAAAATGGTGATTTCCGAATAAGTCTAGTGGAAATCAACATATTGATTTGTATCAGTTCATTAAACATTTGTTGTGGTTAATCACTCCTATTCTATAATAATTGTATTTTTTTTTTAAATTTGTTCTGTATTATTTATCACTTTAATCCTAATACTGCTTTAAAAGCATTGTTTTTTTTTTTTCTAATTTTATTAATTTAACTCTAAGTATTAACGCTCTTTTGTCGCATCATTAAAAAATGAAGGTTAGTTTAGTTTTTTTCATGTTTTTTTTTCAATAAAATCAAGATACATCTATTAAAATTCTTAATACTTATATAAAATTTAAAACGACAATTAATTAGGGATAGTGGGAATACTTTGTTTCGTGAATTAAATCTTGGAATTTGAAGAGTTGTGGTCTAGAAAGGTTAGCTTGACTGTTGAGGTCAATTTTTTTACTTATTTTTCTTCCCATTTTTCCTCTGAAAAAAGAAAAAAAAAAATAATAATAAAAAAAAAAAGGAAAAAGAATGAGTATATTAACAGTCTCCGGTCAACCAAAACAGGAAAAATATGAGTCAGTTTTTCGGAATAATAATAATTTGTTTTCTTTTTTCAATAAAATGGGGATAATATTAGTAAATCTGCACATGTTAGCAAATATATGGTTTTTAAAAATATATTTTTTATTTTCTTTTGATGATCTGCCTCATGTGAGGATTATTATTATTATTATTATTATTATTATTATTATTATTATTATTATTATTATTATTATTATTATTATTATTATTATTTACATACATTATACATATTTATCCAAACTGTATGATATGGTTTGAATCGTCTTTACCATATCGGCAGTGGCGGACCGAGTAAGAGACGGGGGTGGCCCCTGCCCCTATACATAATGTCTGATGCCAACCCAAACTCGAATCACGTAACTTTGTCATTAAGTGATTAAGTCGGAGCCGAGAGAATATATTAACTAAATGAGGTTATTAATTTATCGAGTTTCTCGTGTATTTGATTAATTCCTTAACAATACCTAAAACATTAATGCAATCATAAATATTAAACAACAACTACATACATATATCAACTTGAATTTCTGAACGCGGTCTTGTTCAAATTGTACACACGGTAGAGTAGCTAGGTTCACCTACAGCCTATTACGTGTTCAAGATTCTTTTTTAGGGCAAATTATAGCTACCCCAAATTATGAAAACACTATAATGTTTGTATAATTACAACTACTACTCAACTATTTATTATCTTATAACAATACCCATCAAAAGGTAAATTTAAGGATGTTAAATCGGTAAAACTGAACCGAAATTTCGGTACGCCAACATTTCATACCATTTACCGAACTGAATATATACGATTTGGTTTGGTAATTAATAACCGAATTACATAAATTTTATGTAACATTGTTTAAAAGGAGTGGTGGCTATAATTACCCAAAGAAGAGGAATTTTTTTCTCGTAATTTATCCATAAATCAGGGGTGGTCGTAATTTACCCATTTTAATTTAATTAAAAGCTTGACATTAATGCAAATGCATTCACAAGCACATCCAATTACAAAAATTAATGTGACTTAATTATTAAACAAGAATATAATTAATCACATTATAATAATAGAACCGTGGAAATATTCTTTATCTAAGTAGTACACTGGCTTGGTTACCTATATTGGATTACATTGGATTAGATGAGATTAGATTATTACATAATGACTAATTAATTATTTAGTTATTAGCATGTTCGGTTTTTTAGATTACATTTTCTATTAAATTTGTTACATTCAGTTATTATATATGAATTGTCTATAAAACCATTTAATTTAAAATAATACAACATGATTTTAAGGATAAAATTATCGATTTCCTTTTTAATCACCCCTATTAAATTAGCGTCTAGGATTAGATAATTAAATATTCCCTGTGGGTTCGATATCCGGACTTTTAGTCCACTATATTACTTGTACGATACGTGCACTTGCGTGTAGGTTTTCGGCCAACACCGAACGAGAAGATTCAACTTTCAAAATTAAACGACGTCGTATATATGTATTTAAAATATTCGGTGGAAGAGTTGACTATATATTATTTCCCAACAAGTGGGGCCACTTCAAAAATTCTTGCATGTTGATCCATCATTAATTTATACAACATGACAACAATATTCATTCAACTTGATCATATGTAACTGTTATAAATCCTCTGCAGCTTCTGATCATGTCCTAATTAACAGAAAATACTCATTAATAAACACCAAAAAATTAAAAAAAAATTAAAATGTTTTTAGCCACTTTGCTGCTTTTGCTACCTTTTTTCCTTTTCGTATCGCGTTCGTTTTTTCGAATGCACCGAAAACAACTTCCGCCGGGCCCTAATCAATGGCAAGTTTTGAGCTACCTTTCCGAGTTAATGCACAAACCCCACGTGGCTATGAATGACCTAGCCCGAATCTACGGCCCGTTAATGTAGTTCAAGCTCGGAAACCAACTCATGGTGGTGGCTTCGTCGCCCGATTACGCAAAGGAATTTTGTAGAACCCACGATGGAATATTCTCCGGGCGGCATTTGCCAGCTGTCTATCACTACCTTCAAGGTACGATCGGTTCGTCGATCGTACTTTCGCCCGATTGCGGAAAATCATGGAAACTTTTACGATCGATCTGCCAGAATTGCGTTTTCTCATCCAGGGTTGTGGAGTCCAGCGCCTGGATGAGAAAGACGAAGGCTAAGGAAATTTTGGATCATTTGAGAGGTAAGGATGGCGAAGTCGTAAATCTTGAGGATCTTATGTTTGCCACCTTGGCGAATATGATATCGAGCGTTTTAACTTCGAGGGACCTATTTGTTATTAATGGGGGGGCGGCGAAAGGTGATAATTATGAGGTGATGATGGATATAGTAAACGAGGTTATTGAAGGTACTACGGCTCCTGGATTGGTCGATTTCTTGCCGATTTTGAAGGGGGTGGATTTTTGGAGTAAAGGGAAGGCGAAAGATATTTGTCGGAAAATAAAACTTACTTGGGGAGATATAATTCAAGAAAGAAAATCTTTCGGGCGTGAAAACCCGAGTTCGAATCGAGATTTCTTGGACACTGTCCTGTCTGATACCACGTTTTCCGACGATCAAATTGGCAACGCTTTGATGGTTAGATTCTTTTCCTTTTCGATCTCAAACTATACAAACATATACTTGTTTATTAATTGCATTCAGCACCCCTACATTTTTTTCAAATGGCTAAAAACCTCCCTGTGGTATTGATGTATTAGCAAAATAATATCCAATGGTTCAAAAACAATTCCCAAAATGCGCCCGAAAACACTAGATTTAGGGAGTTATCTGCAAAAAAAATGCATTGTAAGGGGGTTTTGCTAATAATATTAATACGGGAAGTATTTTAGCAATTTGATATAACACAAGGGTACTAATTAAATGCAATAAACTCGAGCATATTATAGTGCTAAAAACGGAACGTTGAAGTTGTCTAATTAATAATTAATTTTACATGATTTGCAGGAAATATTGATTGGTGCTACAGACACTACGACTATAACATCGGTGTGGTTGATGGTAGAATTGATTAAAAATCCCGAGATGTTGTCCAAAGTCCGCGACGAAATATCGCAGGCTTTCAAAGGCGACGAATTGAACGAATCGCTACTATCTAACAATTGCAATTATTTCCAGGCATGCATCAAGGAGACGTTACGACTTCACGTGCCGGCCCCACTTTTAGTGCCTCATCGCGCAACGGAGGCATGCAAAGTGAATAACTACACAATCCCGAAAAATAGTATGGTATTGGTGAATGCATGGGGGATTGCACGAGACCCTAGTTATTGGGAGGATGCTCCGATTTTCAAACCCGAGAGGTTTTTGGAGTCAAAAATAGGTCATCGAGGAACACATTTCGAATATTTGCCTTTCGGAACGGGATTGAGAATGTGCCCCGGTTCGACCGTTGCTTTTAAAAATATTCAAATACTTGTGGGGTCTTTATTGCATTATTTTGATTGGAGCTTGCCTAATGGTGAAGATATAAGTAGTATAGATACAAATGAAAAGTATATCACTACTTTGAAGAAGGAAAAACCCTTGTTATTGGTTAGCAGGATAAGGGAACAAAATGTTGTAGGGTAAGAATATTATTATTAATTTTTTGTTTGGGAATTGTTTGTGATTATATTAAAGAATATTTCAAATTTTACTAACACAAAATTAATTATAACAAGTGAAATAATATTTGCAGAGAAAAAAGATAGGTCATAGAATTATTTTAATATTTATTAAATTTTCGTATTTCAAGACCTTACTTTATCTCAAACTCTTTCAACAAAAAAAAAAAAAAAAAAAATCTCTTCTTTTTCTTTAAATTTCGGGTTGTTTAACACGGAACCCGGAATCGCATATAAGGTTTCCCGTGTTGCAAGATTGAAAATGAGAGAATTTGTTAAATTATATTGCAAATTAATATACGATCTATTGAAAACCCTTCTGCATCTATCAAGCCCCTTTTAATAATCATACAAATTTAATTCTGCTATTTAGTCAAAGTTACAAAATTAATCAAGGAGTTGGGACGATTTGTGACCTATTATGTATATATATATATTTTTATTTTGCCAAAGTCAACTCTAAAATATTAAGGGGATGTTTGGTTATGTTTCCAAAACGAATTTCTAGTTTTCAAAATTTCTGATGGAAAAAGTAGATTATTGGTTTTTGTGTAGAAAATGGGAATATGTTTGGATGAAGGTGTATTTTTAGTTTTATGTAGGTGTAGAAATGAGAATATGTTTGGTTGTGGTGAATTTTCTCTACGAAAGTATGTGCAAAAGTAGAATATAATGATTGATGATGATGATAGTGATGATGATGATGATTATTATAATAATAATAATAATAATAATAATAATAATAATAATAATAATAATAATAATAATAATAATAATTATTATTATTATTATTATTATA